AAAAAATCGAGTACAGCTGGATTAAATAAAGCTCAACGTTATGACAATGGAAAAGGCTTTCAATATTTAGATCTTAACTCTGTGTTGAGGATTTTCTTTAAGAAATTGAATGGTTTAGAAAAATATCAGCATTTTCTCTTTGAAGCAGCTCGACCTGGAGTTGTCAAAGCCCAACTAGTTGCTAATGGTTCGTATACTGAATTTAATTTATTGAAAACCAGAAAAGCAAGTGTTTCCGAAATTATCAGAGAGATTAAATCTTTTCTATTTTAGTACTAACACCGCCTCTTTTGGATTACAAAAGACAAGAATATCTTTATCATAATATTCGCCCATATGTTAGAGACGAATTCAAGGATATTACTTGTCCAAAGCCAGTCTAAACAAATATTGTCAAAGTTTTTCTATTTTCTAAAAATCAAACCAGTGGCCATAAACAATGTTGAAAAATTAGAACATTTGCTATTAATTGTTTTTAAGTATTCTTTAGATTTGAATATTAGTTTGAATTCAGTTTTGAGTTTGTTGCCTAACGCTTTAATCTTTCTCTACTTTTTAGGTAATTCAGGTAAGGGCTTAGTAGCTAAATATTGTTCTCATTTTTATTGATATTCTTTAATTTCTTTAGCCAAAAGTTGCTTAATTTCTTTTTCCTTTTGGGCTTTTGCTCTTAATTCTTGAAGACCTGGCATTTCTGTAGTTAAAGCCTCTTGAATATTGGCCAAATATTTTTCTTTTTTTTGTTCATAATTTTTAATGTATTCTTGAAATCGAGAAATATTTTCAAAATGTCCATTCCTTTCTTTTTCATATTCAATTAATGATTCATGGTTTGTCTGTTGAATAAACTCATCAGAACTGGCAGCAACACATCAAGATCGAGGTTAAAATTTACGAAAACGAGAACCATTAATTATTTCATCAGGTAAGGACTCAAATCCATGTAGTTGTCTAAATTGTCATTTTAGACTCTTCTTAGCTCAATCTAGTTCAAAAAAAACCTCTCAAGCATCTCCTCAAAATTCATGATTTTCATCTTTGACTTTAAATACTTTTCAGAGTATTTTGTCTTTACAAATTTGTTCTCATTGTTTTTCAAGGCTTTTTATTATTATTAACTCTTTTTCAGAGCTTATTATGCTTTCTCATAATCTTTTTCCATTTTCACAATAATTAACAAAATCTATATAGTGGTTGTGACTTCTTAATTTTGACGTTTCTAATCTTACTAACTCTTTATTGATATCAATGATATTGTCTATTTCTTTTTTTAATCTGGAAAGGCTCACCTCAAAGCGTTTTTCCTTTTTACCATCAATTCCTAAAATGTGGGGGAAAGTTCTGTCTGTTTCTTCAAGGGCAAATTTTTCAATTAACAAGTTTAATTCCCATGGTAATCTGTTTTGTCTGTATCATTGAAATCTAGCTAGCATCTCTGAAGGCTTAGCATTTTTAAAAGTTGAACCTGGTCTTTCCCAATAACGTTTTCCAAAACAATGTTTATTTAATTTATCAATTAATTCTTGGCTTTTTTCTTTTTTATTTTTTAAATATATTTGATAATCTTTTTGTTCTTTCTCTGATAATCATATTGTTATACATTTATTCATAATAATTATTTTTATAGAATTCAATTAAATTTATACAATTTACTTTTCCAGTTTTCTTTTTTTGTTTGATTCTTGATTAGAAGTTTCTAACACTCTTTTGAAGACTCTTTCCTCTTGATAAATTTTATAGACAATTTTTTCTTTATCTAAATATGCTTGCAAAGACTTAGTATCTGTTAATTTAAAATGTAAGGTGCAATCTTTTCACCTTGCTCTTTTTTTAAAATGCTTCTGATACTGCTGTAATTTTTGGTTCCATAGTTGACTTGATGTAAATTAGCTTCATATTAATATTTTATATAGGAATAGTCCTATTACATAAAGTGCCAACACTAAAACATTGCAAAAACATATGAATTAAAAAGCAAATAACATTTTATTACTAAATTGTTTAGTTGCATTCAACATACTAAGCATAATAATAATTCCAACATCAAAATATTTTGAGACTAACAGTATAACAATGAAAACATCCATAAAATAAACCCCTTAGTATTAGATGGTCCATTGCTGAATGGTCTTTTGCAAATTGCCATTTTCATCCTTCCAGCAAGCACACATCCGTGCAGTTGTAAACTCCAAGTCATGCCAGAAATGTACCATGTTAATGCCTTGCATTATTGCCTTTTCATCCCAATATGGTTTCACCCCATCCAGATATCCATCCTCACATGTGTAGTGAACAATCCATGCCTCATCAGCAGATGCCAGTGACTTATACCTGGGTGTTTTGTCAATATGGGCTTGAATAGTGTCTTCATTTCCAGCCAGAAGTTCCAGAAGAATTGTTGGTTCATCCTTCTTTTTGATAACTACATCACAGTACTTGTGCTTCTCATTTCCTGTCTTTGTTGGATCAATAAGACGGTATTGTCCAGATATTGTGTATTGTTCTTGCTTACCAAGCCAATTTGTTAAGAGCCTTATGAGTTCTGTATTGTACACACTCTCTCTTGGAACCCGTAATTTTGTATGACCCCTAATAACACGAAAGTTACACAAACTGTGTGTAGGAAACTTAAGAAAGCATAATAATAAGGAAACTGTTACTTTTCAAATCCCTAAAACTCAAATCTAAACCGTAACTTTTGTTCTGTATCATCTGTTCTATCATTCTTACGGATTAGTTTTTCTCCATATTCTCTAATAGAAAAGCCTTAGGGTTTTGAAAGTTGGTCAATTTATTTCGAGCTTTTAGTGTGACTATCGACAAACAATATAATAATAATGCATTATTGTACATCCTTGTGACGTAACACAATAATAATAAACGTTGAGAATGCCCTTTCCGAAAGAATAAAATTTTTATTCATTCATTCATTCAAACATGTCGTTAGCATCAGAAGTTGTTGATAATTCAGCAATTAATAACTTGGTTGAAAGCGAACATGAAGGCTTTGAATGGATTTCTTACGAAGAAATCACCGACGTTGAACCAACTAAAATTGACAATGTTTACTACGCTAATCGTGAAAACTTCGGTGACATAATACTGATACTCCTTGGTAGTGACGAAGAATGTACACCAACACTTGTGAGTGAGTTTGCTAGGATATACTCACTTCCGACGCACAAGTACAACAATGTTGACAATAACTTTAGAAGATATTCCAAATGGCTTAAGTGGCGCAACAACTTGATAGGAGGATTCACCAAGTCTAACGACAACTATTATTACATGGTTGCCGATAGAAAGTTCTATCATTCTTATTCTCTATACGGATTCTGCACCGTATGTGGAATACTCCGCTGTAGTTCCGTATGGTGTATTTGCGGACATAAACAATTATCCGATGGATGGACTAGTAACAATAAACAACTCGATGAGTTTATCAAGAAAACTCAATTACAATCAAACTCAGCAAACGATGCCTATTTGGAATGGATTCCATTTGATTGTATTAGTCATATATGTTATGATCAACATTGCTTACGTGGTCCACCTTTTTCTATTAGTGCACACGTTAAGTGTATTCCACTTGAGATAACAGACTCGACACATGATTTATATTATGCCGAGGTATTTACTATGCGTCCTGTTTATTGAATAGTTTGGATAATTATTGACTTATTATTATGTATCATTTCCACTAGTTATGTGATAAGCATCCTGATATTCTTAACACTGACGAATGGATTACCATCGGTTTCACGTATGATGCAAGCGAACAAAAGTATTGTCTAATAAAAGAATATCATGGACATGGATCATGTCTAGGGTGTACGGAGGAATTAAACCCCAAGATAAATGCATTCTGCTATGAATGTAAATCACCAAGACCTCTCAATTGGACGACTGGCAATAAGTCTTTGGATTCATTTATTATGGAGTCATGGAAGAATACGAGTAATGACAGCGATGCGTATATACAATGGATTGAATACTCTCTATTGACAAACGTACAAGAGATGACATCATTACGTCATAAATGCACACATATAGCAGATTGGATAATGACACGTGTGTCACTCAAAAAGATAGCTAATGATGATTTCCATCAGGTAAAATAAAATGCTATTATTAACATATATCACGTGTCAGTACTAAAACTATATTATCGTATAAATAGCTCATTAAGGAATACCCAGACATATTAACCCCTGAGAATATTTGGATAATTGGGATCACGCAGGATCCATCTACACGGGAATATTATTTAGTTTTCTACCAAGATGTACAATCACTATTGGATAGATTTATACGAAATAATGAACATGTAGAGCACATGCAGTATAGCGACTTTTGCGAACTTAAAGAGATCGGATCTGGCGGTTATGGAACAGTTTATACCGCCAAGTATAAAAAGTATTCAGAAGTACAAAATATGCAAGAAATTATCATACTCAAACGGGTCAAGAATTTTGATGAAGCGCCGGAATTATTGATTCCCGAGGTAAACAATAATAACTGGTAGTATTAATTAAAGTGACATTTAATCTGATTCTGTATTTGCTTTATTTAATAGTTCAGAAATCATGCCAAGTGCAGTGGTGGTGTATTCCTTACAATTTATGGAGTGACGCAAAACCCTGAAACAAAAGAGTACATGATTGTTATGCAATATGCTAACCATGGTAGTCTTTTGTCTTATTTGGATCAAAATATTAACAAATTGACGTGGAGGGATAAGTTACAGTGTTTGTGGCATATTGCATTGTGTCTGTGTTATATTCATCAGAGCGGATTAGTGCATTGTGATCTTCATGGCGGGAACATTGTTATGCATGATAGTGACGCATTAATATGCGATCTTGGTCTGTCTCGATCAGTGAATTCACGTGATTCAACCATTCAAGGAGTTTTACCTTTTGTTGCACCGGAAGTCTTTCATACCCACAAATTTACTCAAGAATCAGATATATATGCTTTTGGCATCATTATGTATTTGATTGCTACGGGTGAACCACCTTTTAGAGATAGGCGGTTCGAGAGAGATTTAGTTTGCGATATTATGGGCGGACTACGACCATCGATGCCTGATTCCACACCAGAGGAATACAAGGAACTTGCCGAGCGGTGCTGTGATGCTGATCCTGGTAAGCGTCCTGATGCATTTACACTTTGGGATGTTGTTAAGAATCTTAATATTAAAGTGGACCAGGACGATTCTGATGACAGCATGTGGGATGCCATTTCTCATAACAATGTTAAACCATTGTCACGTCTCGAGAAGGAGAGTAAATATTCTAGTACGATCTTACATACTGAAGGTCTGCCTAAACCAACAAACAGCTACGATTCTCAGTTACCTCCTTCCTTATCAGATTTCAGCTTGCCAAGTTTAGAAATAAAGTTAGACGAGGAGTAAGGGAGAGTTTGGATTAACGGCGGCTTACAAAGACGGCAATTAGTTCTAAAAGTCAATATACAATATGATTTAGCGACCCAAACATTCTTTGAATAAACATGTTTATTTACAAGATTTACTATTACTCCTGTTCCAATTAAATAAACTAGTGGGTAGCTGTGAGGATCAAGAGCCTAAGATGACGTATTCCTCTCTGAATTTGCTGCGGAACGATAGGTGTCACCAACAACGGTA